TAGTAGAGCTAAGCTGCAGCTATTTTGTGGTTGTAGAATGAGTGGTCGACCGGAGATGGACCACGCCCTCACAAAATACCAACGTAAACTTGCAGTTTAATACTATCGTTTTTTGTACAGTTGTGGTGGTCAGCCCAACTGATGGTAAGTGGATGCTGTGGTCCATTGATATCTACAACTATCCTCTATTAAGAATCAAAAAGCAGATGTGTTGTCACCCCTACGGACTAAGATGAAATAGCTTCTTTCCAGTCAAGGGTCTCCGGTTCTTTTTACTTAACATACGAAACACAGCAATTAATGTTGCTATTTAATGCTGGTATTTTGTGAGAGCGTTGTCCTACCCCGGTCGAGGCGACCCATTCGTAATACAACCATAATTTAGCTGCAGCACAGCTCTACCACGTAATATTTAGCTGCAGCACAGCTTAAGCACGTTAACAATTTTTCTAAAACTTAATTAATCTACCACACTAAGTAAGCCGTCAGAAGAATTCAATTGCAATTGTCTTTGTGTCGAGTTGTTCATGGGTGACGTTCGACACTTACCATCAGGTGAACCGCATGCTTGTTTGCCCCCTCTTCTATAACAAAAGAAGAATAACATGATTTCATGTTGTCACACCAGTGTGTTAATTAGCGAACAGTAAGCTGCATGTAATGATGGACGCATGCAACGAAACAATTTAATGAAAGCTATCCTTGAATAGGCAACACAGCTAGAACGCAGTTGTGTGAGCAAATGTCTTCATTAATTCCAAGTGATATGCATTGGAGAGTCTGAGTTCCTGACTGTTGAGTTGAGACTACGTTTAAAGAATAAGGATGACAAACGAGCACACAATAACTAATGGTTAGTGGATGCTGTGGCCCATTGACATCTACATCTATCCTCGATTAAGAACGCTTAATCCCAGTATAGAGGTATCCGGTTCTCTACACTCACCATACTAAACACAGCAGTATTAAGTTGTTATTTTACGCTGGTATTCTATGCGAGTGTAAACTTCTCCGTTCTAGCCGACCCATTCCTAAATAGAGAGGATGACTAGGTGCTACCAGTTGTTTAGGATCCTTTTAGTAATGAAATTAAATCTAAACTCAATTATTGACAATGTAAGATACAGTGGGTCATTTCGACAACGCTTTCACAGAATACTAGCCTGAGATAGCAGATGATGTTTCTGTGTTTCGTATGGTGAATGGTGAGTATAAAGAACCTTTTTTTACTCGATACAAGGCATCCCACCATAGTCCTTAGGATTGACAACGCAACTGCATTTAGATTATTGCTCGAGGATAGACGTAGATGTCTATGGGACACAGCATCCACTTACCATCAGCTGGACTGTGTGCTCGCTTGTCACCCTTGCTCTATACCACTGCAAGAACTTATGATCAGTGAACGTAAATTAAACATTGCGTTCTCTGTTCAAGATACTGTAAGTTCGGCCTGCGTAAATTGGACCAAAAAGTTATATTGAAAAGTTGATCGACGAGTCGATAGCCCTCGTTCACTATGATATCAGGACGACAAACACCTCTGGTCGCCCTCCCCTTCCGTGAGCATATATTAATAATTTAAATACAAGAGACCCGCGATCATGGAGTGCTGTGAAGCGCCAGAAATGAGAATTACAAAAGCTAAACGCGTTGAAATCCCTAATATTCATTTTATTCAAATTCGCGAAGAATTCATTGCCGACCATGCAAACGTGTCCTTGATTGCCCAGTTTGCGTGCTTTCTTTTGTGGATCATTTGTCGATTTGTACTTACATAACAGCCTAGTCTTTTCATTCAGTGTTCATTCATTTCAGCCTAACAAAAGTCCACTGTTGAACCTGGGTCTCACTCGTACAGGGGATATTTGCTACAGTTGCCACAGTTGCCACGCTTGATAGGTGGTTTGACAACCGTGAGTCTACTTTGAAGTTTTGTCAGTAAGCTGCTGCTGCCCATCTTCTGTTTCAATTTCCTCTGTCTGAAGAGCCACGGGATGATGTGGTCTAGTGGATGTTCACGCGGTCAATGTATGCCGCTACTAATCTTTAGCAAAAAATACTAAGGTGCGGTTGGAGCATTCAGAACGTTGTCTGTGTCAACTCCGTAAATTTTATACCAATCGATATTTTTTGTCCCTTTAAGCATCTTGTGCATAAATGCCACCGAGCCGCAGTTGCCCGTAGTGTTCAGAGTAAAGTTAAGCAATACGATATTAAAAAATGAATCGGGTTACTAAAAATTTTGGCGCACCTTTTCTAAGTATCGATTTCAACTAAATAAAACGCGATAAAATCCGTAAAAGTAGTTTAATCAATGTGTAGTGTTCGCGTAAATATAAAAGATCGTTGTGGATTTGTAGTAGCAGTGGTAGAGCAACGCTACAGCTATATGTATTGACGAGTTATATTAGTATATATTATATAGACGTCATCCATCCATCATCATCCATTCAGCCAGGTCATCCACTGAGTGCTATCAGATGTGTGTTCGTTTGTCGTTCTTGTTCTTAGTAAATAAATTGTGGATAGAATCTACGATTTGTTTATTTAGAATAAGAATACAATCCATTCAGTGAGCATTTCTTATAATGTTTAATTAAAATAATAAAAAATTAGTTTCTCAGAAACGGCTTTATCAATTTGTACGAAATTTTGTATTTAAATAATGTTTTTCTTTCCAAGTTGATCTAGATAGGTTTATCTATCTTTTTTTCTAACGCTGTTCGCTCAGGCACTTTCAGTAATGATTCACTGTAGGTATTTCAGCGGGAGGACACTCACTGTTCATATAACGTAAGTCTATATTCGATGTCAGTAATAATTCCTAATTTATAGATTTATAATTTATAGATTCAAGACGACAAACAGACGCACTAACTGCTTAATATTAAATGGATGCCGTGGGTGTGGCCTATGTATACCTGTCATCGATTAAGAATCAAAATACGGAAGCGTTGTCACCAAAGATGGAATGCCTCGTTTCCAAATAAAATTGGTTTTGCTTTTCTACGCTCATCATACAAAACACAGCAACAGGTGGCATTCTAAAGAGTTTGGTCCTTCCGCGGTCCAGTGGCCCTAGTGTATTAATTATATACCTAATAAATAAATAATATAGCTGCATCTTAGGTCTCCTACGTCCTCTTTTTTTTAAATTCATGTTTCTTTAATTTATTTAAACTAAGACTAAGCACTGTTGTCATATTTTTGAAGCCTATAAATGATACCTTATACTTGCTTTCATTCGATTAGCTATATATAACAATTTTATTATACCTTTGACTGCCGAAGCTCTTTTCATTATACTGTTGTCGCCATATATAGTTATAAACAACGCTAACTTTGTTGTACGGAATTTTTAATTTATCTTAGAGAACCGCAGGACCTTTTTACTGGAAACGAGGCATTCCATCTTAGTCCAGGGGGACAACATATTCTGCTTTTTAATTCTTAATCGATGATTAAAATGTAGATAGATGTCGATGGGCCACAGCATCGACTTATCATCAGGCGTGCTCACCTGTGTGCTCGTTTGTGCCCCTTATTCTATTATAAAAAATAAAAGTTATCCATGAAACAAATTATATAAACTAACTGAATATAAAAGTAAAACAATTGAACTATTTTATTCAACACAACTTTGTATATATATTAGCTTATCAACACATTTGTATACATAACAACATAACACTTGATTGTGAAGCGCAGACAAGCTGCAGTAGGCGCCGCGCGGGCTCAGCTCTGTGGACCGCAAGTTCAAGACCATCTCCTCCCTTGCTCTTCCCGACCCTCCTCCCATGGTTTCCCCCTCCTCCCTGTGTCCCCTACCCCCACGACGTCCCCGGGGTGCTTAGCCTGCGCTGCTGCATCGCTAATTTCATACATCGCTATGCGTTTTCAGGTCGCGAGCTTCCCGCGTCGTCGACATTTGTTGGCAATATTTGTTACGTGACTTACTTTAAATACGAATGGATACGCTTTTGAGATTATCTTTTATATGTATTTATGCAGTTGTTTTTTTATATTTAAAATGAGGCAAATGAGCGTGTACCTGAGCGGCTCACGTGATGTGACCTGCTGCCGGCACCCTTGAACAACTGTTACACGTGTTAATGTAATTTTTATAACGGAGAAAGAAAAATTCTTCATCCATGTTGAAATAGCTAAATGATTAAAATAACCATTTTCATGGCAAGTCTTATGGAACTTTGCTATGGGTAATGCGACTGACATAGAAACCAAATCTGTTTTGCAAAACATGTCTGTAAGGGCAATTTATAAGACAAATTGTAAAGATTCTTGTAATTTATTACTCGTATTGTCATCCAATTCAAAAAAGGAGGAGGTTCTCAGTTCGACTGCAGTTTTTCTGTGTGTTATCTCAGAACTTTTTCTAGATGCACAGATTTTGATATTCTTTTTTATTAGAAAGCTGCTGTTTCTAATGTGGTCCCATATAAATTTAATCAAGATCTGAACAATAGTTTTTGAGTTATCCTTAGTACTGAGTATTTAATTGAATTCGAATACGTTGATGATGTTCTCATTTTATTTAAATTGAAGTCGGTTGTACAAAATATTTAATTTTACCACTTGTTAGCATTAGAGTTAAGTATAATATATATGTTACGTTCACATCAGTAAAAGTTTATAATGTGGTAAAGCCATTCTGCAGCTATATTATGGTTGTATGTACCACGAATGGGTCAGCTTGACCGGGGTAATGACCACGCTCCAACAGAATACCGGCGTATAATAGCAGCTCAATACTGCAGTGTTTCGTATGGTGAGTGTAAAGATCCCTAGACCCTTTTTTATTGGAAACGAGGCATTCTATCTTAGTCATCAGGGGTGACAACGCATCTGCGCTTTGATTCTTAATCAAGGATAAATGTAGATGTCTATGGGTCACAGCATCCATTTACCATCAGGTGGACTGTGTGCTCGTTCATTCTATATATAAAAACAAACATAGTAAAATAATCCGACTTTTTCAGGTATACACGGTGAGGCGGCGTCTAGGCCACGCGGGGCGCCGGAACCTGACCAGCTTTACGACCACCACTCCTCCGAAGAAGAGCTCGAGGTGAGCCCGTAATTCTCTACTTACTCTACCTCTCTCTTTTGACTCTTTGGACGCAAAATTCTTTAAATTTGGAGTCACACACCGCTAGGCCAATGGCGCTATATTCTTTCTTTAACACTAAAATTTTAATTTAGTGTTGTATGGATATAATCCATTAATTATATAGTCTCCCATTATTATGGGATAATCTCAAAGTCGGAAAAGTGGCAACATTTAACCTAAAGCGCAATATTCGATCATTTTATTTAATTTTTTGAGGTTTTTACGTTTATATGAAAACAAGAACTAAAAATTATGTGTTGAAAGTGATTCAATTATTAAATTTTTTGTCGTGGCTCAACTCTGTCGGCGTCACATTGAACACTGAACTGACGTTAGCAAAGCATATGGCTGTGGCCATATGTGCAGTAGCAACGCTTTGGCGCGGTATCTAGTAATCTCGTGTAATATATAAATCAATGTATATAGTATAATAAGAGTAAATAGTTCTGATTTACTCGTTCTGCGGGAAGAGAAAACATCGTGAGGAAACCTGCATGTCTGAGGAGTAAACATATTTCGAATCAAAGATTAGTGAAGATTAGTGACCAGTTCGGTGAAGAAATGGTAAGCGACCTGTCCCAGCCGTAATATGAGGGATGAAAGAGAAAATATATTACCATTTCTGCCAACCTAACCTGTGTACCACCTAACAGTGCTCTCTGTTGTTTGTGGTCTCCGTAGAACAGGGCTGTGGAATTTTTTTTTCTTAAACAAGGACTTTTTGCTGCGTCGTGGATGCAGTTTACAAACATAAATTGCACAAGAACATGCATCTAGACCTGGCACATTTCAGAAAATTAGATATTATATTAAATTTTATTTATTAAATTTATTGGAGAACTACAAATACAATGATTTTTTTGATGAAAAAAAAAGCTGGTAATCGGTAAAAAAAAATTTTTTTTCTTGCTCTCGTGTATTGTTTTAAAAATTGAGGTTTGTGTTTAAACTTGTAAGGGTCTCGAAAATACTTATCAAATACTACAGCAAGCTGGATGCGAGAACTTAAAACATTTAAATATCCGTTAGCTTTTTCCACGATTTAGCCACGATAATCCAAAAAGATGGGATGCCTAGTTCCTAGGTTCTATAGACATGGGACCTGTGTACCGTGGCTAAGGATCTTGTAATTATGCTCTCAAAAACCCTTATTAAAATGCTACCCTACAGCTTTGAAGCAACCTGCCTTCCGCAACTTTGAGAGTTCCGGAACGTTTATTTCTTTTATTGTCTACGCTGTTATGGTGCAGGGGATGAAAAAGGTGTTTTGTTTGAAATAACCCCCTTTCGTTGATTCTGAATGAAGGAAAGTTACCTAATGTGCTTATCACCAGATGCTCGTCTAGTCTCCACCATTTCGTTGTCGACCTACTATGCATTCAAATCAAAAAGTTTACAGAGGAATTTTAAGAGAAGAGTGAAGAATAGGTTTGTTAAGCTAATTCGTTTATCCATGGCTACATCACCATTTACTATCAAATTGGATAATAATCAAGCGCTGGTTTTAAAAATGGTAAGAATCAATCGGGTTGCAGGACTAGATGTTTCTTCTTGGATGATCAGAAAATTAATTAAAGATGCTGTTAAATGATCAGTTTCCTCAAGATATTTTCACTCACAGCGGAATCAGCACTCTTCCAACTAACAACTTCAATGGCGCCGCCGCAGTTAAGCTAGATTACATAATTATTTCTTATATTTACGTTAGTACTAGTCATAGAATAAAACTTGTTTTAAGAATTTTATCACACTTAACACACACTTAACTTTTTAAGCACCCAGCATCTATGGTCATTAGGGGATCTGAGGTATTTGACGTCCTGATGACATAGTTAGCGAAGGCTACCTTCAAATTCTTATTATTAATTTTTGGTCCGATCTACGCATAACAGTTCTGTTCCCGATATGACCATGGATGCCGTAAAGTGACCGAAACGTCTAAAATTAAAAAAAGTTATAATTGAACGCGATAAAAGTTAGTTTTAATCCATAAGCTCAGTTTTTTAGTATTCTATGAAATCTTATATAACTACTCAACGAGCATAATAATAATAAAAAAGATCTTTGTGTTTTTTCGTCATTAAAGGTGACATAACAAAACCAAAAAACAAACGGAAAATAACTTTCATCTTAGGTATATTCTGGACAATGCCGGTTAGCACAAAACTAAGGGGGTAATCTGTGTCCGTGGTACAGAACAACTTCTCAAGACAGTGACAAAACGTCATTTCTAATTTTAATTAGCGTATAGCATGTTGCATAATGAGTGCGTATTTTGAAAGAAAAATATTTGCCTAATTATATTGGAGGTTATATTACAACGGAGCCGGGTGAATGTCCTTTGGCGTAGCACGGCAATTATAGCCTGAAGTATTGTGAATAAAAAATGTCGTTAGACGTTAATCAAACATTTTGAATTGTTGCTTTTAAATGTTAAAGAGACGTGGCCAAGTGGTTGAAGTACTTACTACTGTAAAATTTATAATGTATAGTGAGGGTAGTATGGTCATCCAGTAAATATGGTCAATTTCTTCAGTCACTATATCTTACCAACACTTATTCGTACGTATGACTTAGAATATAATTATTGCATAAACCAATCACATTTATAATAAAGTTTAGATGTGTGCACGTCGTTTTTATGAGATTACTAACCTATAGAATTTCCATTGTGCCTGTAAGTTCCTCTAGGTTGGCATTCGTACCGCTCCAGCATACATATTTCTGCGCCAAGTAACTAAGCAAGCCATTGGTGTGTTCCGGATGTTTTTTATAGAATAAGCTGACAAACTAGCACACAGTCCACCTGATAGTAAGTGGTTACTGCGGCCCATAGACATCTACATCTATCCTCGATTACAAATCAAAATGCAGATGCGTTGTCACCCGTGAGGAATAAGATGGAATGCCTCGTTTCCAGTAAAAAGGGTCTCCGATTCTCTACACTCACCATACGAAACACAGCAGCATTAAGCTACAATTTCACGCTGGTATTCTGTAAGAGCGTGGTCGTTCCCCGGTCGAGCAGACCCATTCTTGCTACAACTATACTACTAATATAACTGCAGCGTGGCTCTACCACGTATGTAAGAACTATTATAATGTTTTGAAATGTGAACACATGTTCTCGATTGGCAATCTCGTACATTTAAGAGAATCGTAGGGTGGCCCCCTAATAGATGGAGTGACGACCTGGTAAAATATGCACTACGTCGATGGATGCAGTTACTCGGGACCTTGCTTTGTAGCATTCCTTGGGGGAGGCTTATGATCAGCAGTAGACTTGTGAATGGCTGTAATGATGATGATGTGAGGCGTTTTATCTTAGTGTTCAAGGGTAAACGTATTTGTTCCATTCTTTGTTCCAAGTTGGTTGCAAGTGACCATGGTATACCGAAGCCATTTAGCACCAGATATGATTGTTCCTCTGATCGTGTTTTATTCCCTTTATTGCTGGTAATAAATACAAGCCTACCACTGATTCTATCTTAGCACGTTGATGCGGGTAGGAGGTTAGCAACTACTTGGTCGAGGACGTCTGTAGTTAAATAAAAGTGATTTTACGGATTTATTCGCATTTAATTTTAACTCGCTTGTAAATTGCCATGATTGATGAAAATCCACGTAAATTAACATATACCTGACGTGAAGAACCAACGCTCAGGGTATACTGCAATCTGCGAGCATGTTGAGTATACATGTAAGCAATGTTTCTATCAAAATAAATAAATTAGTGTGCGCTCTAAAAATGTCCTATCATACCGTTACCGATACAGCCTTTTAAAAATGTCCTATCATACCGTTACCGGTACAGCCTTTTAAAAATGTCCTATCATACCGTTACCGGTACAGCCTTTTAAAAATGTCCTATCATACCGTTACCGGTACACCCTTTTAAAAATGTCCTATCATACCGTTACCGGTACAGCCTTTTAAAAACGTCCTATCACACTGTTACCGGTACAGCCTTTTAAAAATGTCCTATCATACCGTTACCGGTACAGCCTTTTAAAAATGTCCTATCATACCGTTACCGGTACAGCCTTTTAAAAATGTCCTATCATACCGTTACCGGTACAGCCTTTTAAAAATGTCCTATCATACCGTTACCTGTACAGCCTTTTAAAAATGTCCTACCATACCGTTACCGGGACAGCCTTTTAAAAATGTCCTATCATACCGTTACCTGTACAGCCTTTTAAAAATGTCCTACCATACCGTTACCGGTACAGCCTTTTAAAAATGTCCTACCATACCGTTACCGGTACAGCCTTTTAAAAATATCCTATCATACCGTTACCGGTACAGCCTTTTACAGTCCGCTGTTGCACACGGGCCTCTCATATAGATTGCCTCATGGGAGGGGGGGGGGGTGTATTTGCCATAGTTGCCACGCATGGCAAGCGGTTGACAACCGCATTTTGTTTTACTTTTAGTCGTTATTGGGAAGACGCTGCTGCCATCTCCTGATTTGTTTCCTACTGTCACCTCCCACATCAGCCATGAGATGATATGGGCTTGTGGAAGTTCTTACACCGCCACCACTTGGCACATACCATGCATACGTATAATCATTACTGCGCTATGGTGTCATAATGTGGGCCAACAGCACAGAAAGCATTATCAAACAACTATGAAATATCCATACTGGTACAGAAGGCCAACAACAAAGATCTTAATTTCAATACAGAAGATAGCTGATTGCTACCATCTGCTGGAATCTCTTAATTGATAAACTTTGCCATTGCAAGACCATTGCAAGACTTCAAGATACTTTAAGCTTGTTCTTTCTTTTCCTTGTTTTTATACATATAAAATTCTGGAAATATCAAGTCAGGCATGGAAGTGACACTAAGATTAGATTATGAAATTTATATCAGACAGTTTATTGAGATGTCTGTAACAATTATAATATCTACATTTGGTAACCCACCACTACATATAGCAATTAATATTAA